AAGATGTGACAAATTGGAGAGAGCCAGGGGAGAGCAACAAACGCAATAAAAGGTATAAAAAAACCTGATGTGTGAGGAAAGGTTAAAAAAACTGGGCATGCTTCGGAAAACAAGACTATGGGGGGGCCTAGTATGTGTTCATATATACGTTAAGGACTGTTATGAAGAAGATGAGGATCAATTGTTCTCCATGTCCACTGAAGGTAGGACAAGAAGTAATGGACTTAATCTGCAGCAAGGGAGACTTAAGTTAAATATTAGGAAAAGCTTTCTAATAATCATAGAATCATAGAATATCAGGGTTGGAAGGGACCTCAGGAGGTCATCTAGTCCAACCCCCTGCTCAAAGTAGGACCAGTCCCCAACAGGATGGTTAACCAATCTCCAATAAGGATGGGTAAGCTCTGAAATAGGATTCCAAGGGAGGTTGTGAAATCCTTTTGCAGTTTTTAAGAATAGGTTGGACAAACTCCTGTCAGGAGAGGTCTAGCTTACTTGGTCCTGCCTCAGCATGGGTAACTGGACTTGATGACCTGTCGAGGTCCCTTCCAGTTCTACATTTCTATGATTCTGTGTATATAAACAGTCAGTCACACAGGCTGTTGAGGGATGACAGAAGAGGTAGGGACGATACTTCACTGGAAAGCATCAAATCTAATTGCTGTACAAATGGTCCATATTGTGGATATGTTGACCTCCATGGCCAGCTCAACCACAGTGTATTCCAGAAAGGCGTGTTGGAGCTCAGCTAGTTTATGTTTCAGATTCTCTGCCAACAAGCATCACTGCAAAGTGGGACTGCTGTTACATAGCTAGTTCTGGGACCCTTTGCATTGGGAGTACAAACACTCTCAAACATGTGACTTTGACAAGACTATATGTTCCCACACACCTCCCCATATGCATCTACTCTTGATAATAAAAATAAGAAAATTACCAGGGAAATAGCTAAAGGAACCTTGGTAGTGCCAGATTATCCAATCACCCTGGATATTCCAAACTTGTAGCTGTTGTAAAATCCTCTTTTCCCTAACCTGAGGATGGTATCTCCTGTTTCAAGTGGTTCAAACTACCAACCTCACCTGTATTTTACAGCATGCATACTGACAGGTGCACCTAATTTGGGAGGGTGTCTCAGACAGTGATTTTTTTCCACACTGCTCCATTCTTAGGTGGTTCCACCTCTGTGGTTTATTAGATGATATGAAGAACTTTTTGGCTTTGATGCCAGGAAAGATGTTAAACCAAAGATTGGATTGGCAATTAACTTTTCTTAGAGATGAGCTAAATAAGGGAGCTGTTTGAGCTTTCTCTGGGTTCAAGTTTGTATTCTCTTGAATGAGGCCTACTTGTGCTATGGTTAATGGGGTCCCCATGCACTTAATTTGCTTCTTTATGGCAATCTAGTTACGTTTCCTCTGACTCATGCTCTGAACATAGTTTTGAAAGCTCTCATGCCTTTCAAGCCCTTAGAGACTTCCTCAAGTTATTTTAAGGTGGTTGCTGGTAAACTTTCACTTGCTTGGAAATTGTGTGAACTGTAGATTCTGTCCTACGTGGAACCATATCAATGTTCTATCAAGTCAAAGGTGTCATTAAAAGGACATTGTCTACTTAAAAAAAATACTTCACTGAAATTCTTTTTGCCTGTTGGTGTTACAACGGTCATCAAAAATGAGTACAACTGAAAGATTAGAGATGTTATTTTCTCTTTTTCTTTTTGTTTACTTAGTGAATTTGATAGCATTTAGTATAGTGAGTGTCTGTTTCTCCTTGTATAGTCAATATCAGGTGATTTTTTTGTTTTGTTTGGTAGCTTCACACAGCAACTGAGAAATGAAACCACTTTAAAAAAAAAAAAAAGAAACAGAAATGTGATTGTAAAACTATATAAATTGACAGGAAGATTCTGGGGAAAATGTAGGACCTGAAACCACTTTAAGCTTTGACTAGTTTTCAAATTGATTGTATCCTTTTAATACATGCTCACTGTTGCCCTCTGCCTGTTGCAGTCAGGATTACATACTCTACATGTCAAATGCCTTGTGTGCATCGCTTCTCAACCCCAGCAGTGTGTAAGCTTGTTATGTAGATGATGAAGCTACCCTGGCCATTTACCTGCCTGATCTCGGTCACCTTTTACTGCTCTGCAGTTAGCTGCTTGTCATATCAAAGACTTATTCACTCTTCAAAAATCTTTTTTTTTTTTTAAGGCATGAAACTAAGAATCTGGAATGAAAAATATGAAAAACCTTTAATTCAGATAACTAAGCGAGTATATCTTTGTATTTATGAGAACTCTAAACCTTCAATTTCCTTTAATAATTCATCCACCGGTTGTAGGGTGCAAATTTATTGAACAGAAATTAAAATAGGCAATACAAAAATAAAGCTACTTTTAGTCATTTAAATATGACAGATTTAGCACAGATAGAGGAAACTAAATACTTGTTTTCAGAAGACTGAGGTTTGCCCATCCCAAAGAAAAGATACAAGTAACAGTGTGCCGGGTGTACCAACCTAGCACTGGGCCACTGGGGCCTGACCAATCAGGGAACTAACACTGAAATCTATCAGTTGGGACAGGCGACCACACCCCTTTACCCTTGCTGTGCATGCTTCAGATAAAGGGACAGATAAAAGGAGGCAGCCCAGCTCAGTCTGGGCTGGCTGAGGAGGGGGAAGGACATGTGCTGCAGGCTCCTGTAGAGGCGACTGCGACTCTCCAAACCGTGGGAACTGTGGACCTGGACAACTCTGAGGATGGCCAGCAGACCTGCACTGCCACCATTTTGACATGTTTGTTACAGCTGTCTTTAACAGTAGAGAAATTTCCTTATTGCTAAAATGTTTTTCCCCTTAAAGAAATTTTGGGTTTTTTTTTTCTTCAATCAAGATATGGCTTAGACATTTATACAGTATCAGTTTGAGGGGGTGGGAAGAAAAGCGATTGGATGTTAAACTGCTGATCTCAGGATCATGTGGTAATATTCTTCAGCTTAGTATATCACTAGAAGAGACATTTGACTTAACACAGTGGCCCAGATGATACCAAGGTGGTGTTATAATCAGTTTTTAAGACCGTAATTAATTAAAACTAAATTGATTATATCAATTGATAATTTTCATTAAACTGTTTTAAATTTCATGGTACAAGTTGATGGTTAATAGTTGGCCAAATTGCTTTGTGCTGATGCCAAATTTACTTTTTCAAAAAAAAATCTAAATTTTAGATAGCTAGACTTGTCGATCAGCTTGGAAAACAACTATATTCAAATACTCTATCTCTTGGGACTTGATCCAAATCCCATTAAAAGTCAGTGTAAAGACTTCCATTGACTTCAATGGCCTTTGGAAGAGAGACTTGGGGTCAGATGCAACTCCTGTGACTTAGAATGAGAATCTTTCCATTGACTTTTAAGGGGAATTGGATTGGTCCCTCATACAGCATTAAGGTGATCCTTGAGTGCAATGTTCTACAGTCTTTAGCATTGGTAGAAGCAAATATTTAATTGTTTTATTTTCTTTCACAAATGCCAAGAGGCTGGGCAAACAAAAAGGTGGAAACATAAAGGGGGGAAAAGCATAATTGAGGCAAAATGATGTAAAAAAAAACAAAAAACCTGACATGAAAAAGAGTTTTAACTGAGATTTTAAGAGAAAAAGGTTTTTGAAAATGTGTAACCTTTAGTTTGATTTGAAATTCTGATTTAGCTGTCTTGTGTTGTCTGTCTTCCTCTACTGTTAGTATTTAAAAAAAATCAACATGAGAATGTATGGTAGACATGTTTGGACATAGGCACGAACTCCATGGGTGCTCCAGGGTTGGAGCACCCAAAAATGATGGGTGCTGAGCCGCAGCCCCCATATCAACTCCGCCCCCAGCACCTCCCGCCTGCCGGTGGACCTCGCGGATCAATGCCTCCCACCCACCATGATCAGCTGTTTCATGGCGTGCAGGAAGCTGTGGGGGGAAGAAGCGAGGGGGCATAATGGGGACGGGGTGGGAGCAGGGCCTGGGGCAGTGCCAGAGGTTGAGCACCCCCCAGCACATTGGAAAGTTGGTGCCTGTGTGTTGGGATGCCAATGCCTAATGAGCTGACTTAAGAGGTAGAATTTGAAAAGTCCACTTGGCATAGGGAGTTTGGGAATTTTCCCAGGAGGGTGCCATCACTTTCTGCAGACTTTGACCTTACTTTAAAATCAGTTAATTAATTCATTGAAACCCTGGAAGTTTCTAACCCTTACGGGTGTAAAGAGACTCTTCCAAACAAAAACTGTAGTTAAAGCAATGCAGTGCAGTCTTCCTAAATCTACAAACTTATGCCATTGCCTCTGCTGCTGTTCAGAATTTCCACAATATGAAACTTGGGGTGTGGGATGCATGTTTTACTTTTATTTAATATTTTTTTTAATATTCTTAAGAGCCTGCTCCTGCAAGATGCTGAGTGCCTTCAGTTCACTGATTGATCTGAGCACCTGAGAGGATAATGTAGTATTTGTTTTTAAACGTGTTTATTGAGTAATTGAACACAGCTCCTAAATTCTGATGGTTTAAACAAATCACTTTTTTACACAGAAAGATCATGATTCAGAGTGACTGTTGTAAAGGTAACTAAATATTATTGAATGGCAATGGACCCAGATTATGAAATGCTGAATTCTGATTGACTGTCTTTCTTCTATAATCACCTGCTCTGTGTGTATCTGATCTGTGCTATCTGCAGCTTCACCGGGCACACTCATCAGACTTTCCCTGTTGTGTTACTGCTTAAGCTTCTGACACAAACCAACAAGTCAGGAGAAGGTAAAGGCTGAAACTCCATGTCATGCTCGTGGTCCTTGTACATAATGGTCTGGTGTACTCGTGTGCTCTACTTGGGGCAATACTTGAAGATCATTAAAGCTTCAGCTAATGCAGAATGTAGGTAGCTTGTTTATATACCGTATATTCCAGTTTATTTATAAATCTATTTATTTTGTGTTTACTGCTACTGTAGGTCAGGATGGTTATCTAGTTGGCTTCCTGCATGGTGCCCCACATCACTGCCACATCTTAAAGAAGCTGAAGAGAAAATACTGAAGTGTAAGTATTTTTTACACATCTGGAGTATACCCAGATCTCATGTAACTTTTCATGAGAAACAATCATTGCTATTTTTAATGCATTGCAATGAAGCAAACATGACTGTAGTATAGATTCTCAGGGTATGTCTACACTACGAGGGTAATTCGATTTTACTTAAATCGAATATGTGGAATCGATATTGCAAAGTCGAACGTGTGTGTCCACACTAAGGACACACTAAGGACAGTAATTCGACTTTGTGAGTCCACACTAACGGGGCGAGCGTCGATATTGGAAGCGGTGCACTGTGGGCAGCTATCCCACAGTTCCCGCAGTCCCCGCTGCCCATCGGAATTCTGGGTCGAGCCGCCAATGCCTTCTGGGTAAAAAAAATTTGTCGTCATCCGTCCGTCACTAACGCCCTCCCTCCCTCCATGAAAGCGCCGGCGGGAAATCAGTTCGCGCACTTTTCTGGTCAGTGACAGCGCGGACGCCACAGCACTGCGATCATGGATCACGCTGCGACCATCGCTGCACTTGTGGCCGTTCTCAACACCTCGCAGCTTATCATACACCTTTCCCTGAGGCAGATGCAGAGAAATCGGGCGAGGAGGCTACGGCACCGCCGTGAGAGCCTGAAGTCGGAGAGTGGCACAGAGCTGTCAGAAACCACGAGCCCCAGCGCCCAGGACATCACGGTGGCAATGGGGCATGTGGATTTTGTTGAACGGCGATTCTGGGCCCGGGAAACAAGCACGGACTGGTGGGACCGCATAGTGCTTCAGGTCTGGGATGAATCCCAGTGGCTGCGAAACTTTCGCATGCGGAAGGGGACTTTCCTCGAACTTTGTGAGTTGCTGTCCCCTGCCCTGAAGCGCAAGGACACCCGCATGCGAGCAGCCCTCACTGTCCAGAAGCGAGTGGCCATAGCCCTCTGGAAGCTTGCAACGCCGGACAGCTACCGGTCAGTCGCGAACCACTTTGGTGTGGGCAAATCTACCGTGGGGGTTGTTGTCATGCAAGTAGCCAAGGCAATCGTGAAGGTACTGCTCCCAAAGGTAGTGACCCTGGGAAACGCGCAGGTCATCATAGATGGCTTTGCCGCGATGGGATTTCCAAACTGCGGAGGGGCTATCGATGGGACTCACATCCCTATCCTGGGACCGGACCACCAGGCCAGCCAGTACATCAATAGAAAGGGCTACTTTTCAATGGTGCTGCAAGCACTGGTGGACCATCGGGGACGGTTTACAAACATCTACGTCGGATGGCCGGGCAAGGTTCATGACGCTCGTGTGTTCAGGAACTCTGGTCTGTTTAGACGGCTGCAGGAAGGTATTTACTTCCCAGACCACAAAATAACTCTTGGGGATGTGGAGATGCCTACAGTCATCCTCGGGGACCCAGCCTACCCGCTAATGCCCTGGCTCATGAAGCCCTATACTGGCGCCCTGGACACAGAAAAAGAACTGTTCAACTACCGTCTCAGCAAGTGCAGAATGGTGGTGGAGTGTGCTTTTGGCCGTCTCAAAGGGAGATGGAGAAGCTTACTCACTCGCTGTGATCTCAGTGAAACCAATATCCCCATCGTTATTGCAGCTTGCTGTGTGCTCCACAATCTATGTGAGAGCAAGGGGGAGACCTTTATGGCGGGGTGGGAGCTAGAGGCAAATAGCCTGGCTGCTGATTACGTCCAGCCAGACAGCCGGGCCATTAGAAGATCCCAGCGGGACGCCCTGTGCATCCGGGAGGCTTTGAAAGCTAGGTTCCTGAGTGAGCAGGGCAACCAGTGACTTTTCAGTTTGTGGACAGAGAAGCTGAACCTGCCCCCGTTTCTTTACCCAGTTCATTTTGACTATCCTCTCCAGTTACATACCCCCTTCACCCCCTTCCCCTTCCCAAAAAATAAAATCATTTCGATTTTGTTAATGAACAGCGTTGTCTGTATTGCTGTTTTCGCGGGAATATTTTAAACCGGGGACGCAGACTGTGGCGGGGGGCGGGTTCAGTGTTCTGATGCAAATGATGCTTCTAAACTCCCGGAATGACAGGCTCCGCACTGGTGGACTGGTTATTTCAATGGAGAACATGAAAAACACCTCCCAGACTGACCAGGGTAACCAGTGACTGCACTGTGTATGTGTCCTGATGCTGGACCTGACACCGCCTCTGTACCCTGCTAAAGGTCACTGTCCTGCCCAATTACCAAGCCCCTTCCCCCCCTCCAGACAGACTCTCCCTCAAAAGAACCTGACTGAAACAGTAATGGACAGAAACAAACATTTTATTGCGAACCAGACATGAAACGTGGGGTGTGAAACTTGGACGGGGGCTTCTGTGAGGTGGGTGGGAAAGGACTTATGAAATTTTGGGGAATGTCAGCCTTCTAGTGCTAGAGCAGTCTGCAGGGGTTGACTGAAAGTTTTAACGGCCCTTGCCGCCCCTCCTTCTTTGGAGTTTGGGTGAGGGTGGTGTGGGACTTGGTGGCGGGTGAGGGCGGTTACAGATAGACTGCAGCGGGGCTCTGTCCTCCTGCCTCCGGTCTTGCAGAACATCCACAAGGCGCCGGAGCGTGTCCGTTTGCTCCCTCATTAGTCCAAGCAGCTTTTCAGTAGCCTGTTGGTCCTCCTGACGCCACCTCTCCTCCCGTTCCATAACTGCTCGGTGCATTTGTGACAAGTTCTCCCTCCACTGTGTCTGCTGGGCTGCCTGGGCTCGGGAGCAGTCCATTAGTTCTGAGAACATGTCTTCACGCGTCTTCTTCTTCCTCCGCCTAATCTGCGCTAGCCTCTGGGAGTGTGCTGAGAGGCTGGGTTGGGAGACAGTCGCAGATGTGTCTGTGTGAATTGTGAAAAGGGAGTGAATTCCTGAGACAGATAAATGAAATTGTATACAAAGAACCTAGTCTTTCTCTGTGAACAAGACCATGCACTGCACCTCTCACATGCGCACTCAGGACAAGGTCGAATTTTCGGCCGTCGCCTTCAGTGCCTGTGGACTTGCGGAGGTCTTGGACTGTTCAGAGAACTGTGGCTGGAGACCTGAACTTCTGGAGCGGGCAATAATGGTAAGCCGCAGACTTGTGGCTGCTTAAAACTCCAGCAGTAGCACTGGCCTCCTTTCACATTGAAAGCAATGCCAGTCTCTGCTGCCAGCAATCAGGACAGCATCAACTCTGCCCCTGTCCCACCCCCTCGCGGCTGTCCCAGGGAAAGATCCCTGTATGCTGCCCCTCTCCCTCCACCGCGTGGCTGTAAAGCAGTCCCAATACTAACATTCCCCTCCCTAATTCAAAGCAGGGCGTCATGAGCGACATCACCCTCCTGAGGATCCCGGACACCCAGAGAGAACGCATGCTGCGGGAAAGCATGCAGAAACCGGGGCCGTATGCCGCCATGCTATGTCGGGCCATGATCCCGGAGTACTTGATTGTGGCGTGGAGGGGGCATGTCTGCTACCACGGAGGGCCCACTAAGATCGCCCTACCCCGGAACCTGATCAACAGGCTTGAGCTCTACCTCCACGAGACCTACGAGGAGTTCTCCTACGAGGATTTCTCGTCGATCCCCGGCCACATTGACCGGATTTTCGCGTAGGTGCACTGGGACTATGGAGTGGAGCGTCTTGGGCCTGGGAATCATGGAGTAACGGACATTGTGAAAATTTTTTAAAACACTTGGGACTAAATTGAGAAGAGCCTAAGACAGAGAAATCATGAAAACCCATTTGTTACCTTTGTAAATATTCCTGTTTTGTACCTGATTATTTTTTTACTAGTTTACAGAACTTTTATAAATGTACATTGTTAATAGTATAAATATTACCGTTCTGTTTTAAATAAATGTTTACATGTTTACAGCACTTACTGCTTGATCCTTCCCCTGATTCTGTGTCCGGGGTAAGGGATGGGGACGGTTGGTACGGGATCTCGGTAAGGGTGATGAAGAGCTCCTGGCTGTCGGGGAAATCAGCGGTGCCAGCGCTGTCGACTGCCTCGTCCTCCTCATCTCCTTCTTCATCTTCCCCGTCCGCTGTCATGTCCGACGAGGAACCGGCCGCGGACATGATCCCATCCTCGGAGTCCACGGTCAGGGGTGGGGTAGTGGTGGCGGCCGCTCCCAGGATGGAATGCAGTGCCTCGTAGAAACGGGATGTGTGGGGCTGGGATCCGGAGCGTCCGTTAGCCTCTTTGGTTTTTTGGTAGCCTTGTCTCAGCTCCTTGATTTTCACGCGGCACTGCGTTGCATCCCGGCTGTAGCCTCTCTCTGCCATGGCTTTGGAGATCTTCTCGTAGATCTTAGCATTCCTTCTTTTGGAGCGCAGCTCTGAAAGCACGGACTCATCGCCCCACACTGCGATGAGATCCAAGACTTCCCGATCAGTCCATGCTGGGGCCCTCTTTCTATTAGATTGCACGGCCATCTCTGCTGGAGAGCTCTGCATAGTTGCCACTGCTGCTGAGCTCCCCTCGATGTCCAAAGAGGAACTGAGATTCAAACTGCCCAGACAGGAAAATGAAAATGAATTCAAATTTTCCCGGGGGTGTGGCTGGTCAGAGCATCCGAGCTCGGACTGCTGTCCAGAGCGTCAACAGAGTGGTGCACTGTGGGATAGCTCCCGGAGCTATTACCGTCGATTTCCATCCACACCTAGCCTAATTCGATATGGCCATGTCGAATTTAGCGCTAATCCTCTCGTTGGGGAGGATTACAGAAATCGATTTAAAGAGAGCTTTATGTCGAACTAAATGGCTTCCTGGTGTGGACGGGTGCAGGGTTAATTCGATATAACGGCGCTAAAGTCGACATAAAAGCCTAGTGTAGACCAGGCCTCAGTGTTCCCTTGTTTAGGATCTTTGACCCTGATCTGAAAGATACCTGATATTCCTGCCCTAGACTTCCACTGAACAAACTGCTAGATATGATTAACAAAATAAAAAGTATCTGAACTGTTTTTTTTTTCTTCAGGTATCACAAGCACGTACAGTAAACAATATGTCTTCATATCCAATGGAAATAAAATATGGACGCTAACATTCTCTCAGGACCTCTCATATAAAACTCCACTTGTTCTCCTCCATGGGTTTGGAGGAGGTGTTGGACTTTGGGCTCTCAATTTTGAAGAGCTTTGCGAAAATAGGACCGTTTATGCATTTGACCTCTTGGGATTTGGGCGTAGTAGTAGACCACAGTTTGACACTGATGCAGAAGAAGCAGAAAATCAGTTTGTAGAAGCTGTAGAAGAATGGAGACAGGAGGTAGGGCTGGACAGAATGATTTTACTTGGCCATAATCTGGGTGGATTCCTGGCTGCTGCTTACTCACTGAAGTACCCATCAAGGTATGTGAAAATAAAGGGATAAAGGAAATCTTTGCTGTCTCTTACTAATGTTAATACTACACATCTGTATTCATTTGAAGTGCAGCAGAATGTAAAACCAAGTTCTTTCTGAATTAGTTTTAGTTGTAAAAATTGGCTCAAGACTTGATTTAAAGAGACACTATCATCTAGTTTAGACCCAAAATGCAAATTGTTTTTTGTTCTGAGTAGAAAAATATGAATACAGTATGAGTAGAAATTCTTTGTTCTAACCATCAACGATTTTTGTTAAACATCCTCTCGCAGTGGTCTGAACCTGAACAGAAGAATCAGTTAATGCATGAGAATCAAAAAGTAAAACAGCCATCCTGAAGCATGTGTAGTTAGTTAAATATTGTACTATTAATAATCTGCCTTAACATAACTTTTAAAGTATATATTTACAAATTGTTCAGACATCACAAGCTGCAGATGCATTTGCATTATAAAAACATTAATAATGTAACTCCCATAGTAGGCAGGATGAACCAACAAATTAATGACCTCTAGGTGATTTTTCTGATTTTAGGAGTCCATTGCTGTCTCCTGTTCCCCGATCCTTGTATAAATAAGGGTATCATAATGTCTCTTTTTTCTGTTTTTTAATCAGACTGTGACATTACAGTCAAATAAATTATATTTGAGTATTATGTGTCCTTTTAAAAGTAACCTACATTTCTGTATTAGTATTTTTCCCTCTCCCAACCCTGGTTGGTTAACATTAAAGTATAAGTATGGCTGCATTTTTCTCTCCAACTTATCATTAGAAATCAGAGATTCTTAGCCAATAGGAGATAAATACTTGCTTGGTTTAAACTAAAAGTAATTTTCTTGTTAAATCTGTGTATTTAAATGAAAAGACAGTATATTGTTTTACCCCTTCCAATGGGTGAACCTCTTATAAGGGGGATCTTAGTAGGGATGAATCTAGGAAGACAGACCCCACACTCTAATGCAGTGATACGCATACCTCTGGGGGTATGCAGAGGTCTTCCAGAGGGTATATCAACTCATCTAGATATTTGCCTAGTTTTACAACAGCTACATAAAAATCACTAGCGAAGTCAGTACAAACTAAAATTTCATACAGATAATGAATTGTTTATACTATTCTATATACTATACACTGAAGTGTAAGTACAATAGTTATATTCCATTTGATTTATTTTATAATTGTATGGTAAAAATAAGACTAACATTTTTTCAGTAATAGTGTGCAGTGACACTTTTGTATTTTATTTCTGATTTTGTAAGCAAGTAGTTTTTAAGTGAGGTGAAACTTGGGGAAGAAAAATCAGACTCCTGAAAGGGGTAAAATAGACTGGAAAGGTTGAGAGCCACTGCTCTAATGCATATCTAGTGCTGCGGAAACCTGTACTTTAAAAAAAAAAAAATGCTACCGAAATTATTCCAGAGCTGCAGTTATTAATGTTTGGGCAGGGGGACTCTGAAATATTCCTTAGATTAATGTTTTGAGTGGAGCTTTTTTGTGGTTATTCTCTAGCATCTCTGGTCTCTCCTGGGTTTGTCAAGTGACTTATTTAAAAGTAGGCAAGTTATTATGTTATCAAACCCCTTAAACAACAGATCATAGAATCATAGGGTTAGAAGGGACAACAAGGGTCATTTAGTCTAACCCTTGCCAAAATACAGGATTTGTTGTGTCTAAACCATCCAAGACAGATGGCTATCCAGCCTCCCTTTGAAAGCCTGCAGTGGAAGAACTTCACAGCCTCCCTAGGCAGTCTGTTTCATTGTCCTACTGTTCATACAGTTAAGAAGCTTTTCCTGAGATTTAATCCAAATCTGCTATGCTGTAGTTTGAACCCATTGCCTCTTGCCCTGCCTTCTCTGGCAATAGAACTTTTCTCCATAATTTTTTATGGCAGCCTTTCAAATATTTGAAGACCACTTTCATGTCCCCCCTTAGTCTCCTCTTTTCCTAACTAAACATACCCAGTTCCTTCAGCCTTTGTTTATATGTATTCCATCACTTTGATAATCTTTGTCCCTCACGTCTGAATCCTTTCCAGTTTCTTTACCTTCTTTCTATACCGGGGTAGGCAACCTATGGCACGCGTGCCAAAGGCAGCACGCGAGCTGTTTTTCAGTGGCACTCACACTGCCCGGGTCCTGGTCACCGGTCTGGGGGCTCTGCATTTTAATTTAGTTTTAAATGAAGCTTCTTAAACATTTTAAAAACCTTATTTACTTTACATACAACAATAGTTTAGTTATATATTATAGACTTATAGAAAGAGACCTTCTAAAAACTTTAAAATGTATTACTGGCACGCGAAACCTTAAATTAGAGCGAATAAATGAAGACTCGGCACACCACTTATGAAAGGTTGCAGACCCCTGTTCTATACATTGGTGACTAAAATTGGATACAGTACTCCAGCTAAGGCAGGGGTTCTCAAATTGGGGGTCAGGACCCCTCAGGGGGTCACAAGGTTATTATATGGGGGTCGCAAGCTGTCAGCCGCCACCCCCAAGCCCCACTTTGCATCAGCATTTATAATGGCGCTAAATATATAAAAAAGTGTTTTTTAATTTATAAGGTGGGTCACACTCAGAGGCTTGCTATGTGAAAGGGGTCACCAGTACAAAAGTTTGAGAACCACTGAGCTAAGGCCTAACCAGCACTGAGTAGAGCGGTACTGTCACCTTGTATGACTTGCATGCTATGCCTTTGTTAATGCAACCTAAAATTGCATTTGCGTTTTTTGCACTGCTGACTCATGTTTAGGTTGTGATCCACCACAACTCCCAGATCCTTCTCAGTAGTGCTGCTGCCAAGCTAGTTATCCCCTGTTCTGTATTTGTGCATTTGGTTTTTCTTCACCAAGTGTAGCACCTTACATTTGTCTTTGTTGAATTTCATTTTTTGTCTATAGCCCAGTTCTCCAATTTATCAAGAGCCCTCTGAATTTTAGCACTGCCCTCCAAAGTGTTGGCAACCCCCCACCCCCCCGCCAGTTTTGTGTCATCTGCAAATTTGATCAATATGCTCTCTATTCCTACATTCAGGTTATTAATAAAGATGTTAAAGAACACTGGACCCAGCACAGATCCCTTTGGAACCCCACTTGAGACCTCCAGTCTGACATCATTTCAATAACAGTTACTCTTTGTGATTGTTTAACCAATTGTGTATCTACTTAATGGTAGTTCTGCTAAGCACGCATTTCTCCAGCTTACTTACCAGAATGTCATGTGGGACTGTGTCGAAAGCCTTGCTGAAGTCCAGATGCATTATGTCCACTGCATTTCCCCTATCCACCAAACCAGTTAGCCTGTCATAGAAGGAAATCAAGCTGGTTTGGCATGATTTGTTCTGGGTAAATCCATGCTGGCTGCTAGTGATTACCCCTTCTGCTATACCCTCTACCTGATTTACAAGGACAAATCTCATCTTTCTAGCTCACAGAATACAGTGCCTAACAGCTGGTTTTGTGTTGATTCTTCTCTTCAATTTTACTTTCTTATGCTAATGAGGGATCAGAAATTAGATCATAGGATATGACAGTGATGGTGAATAATGTAGATTATTTAATTTTCAGATAGCTAGCTTTAATATTTCTCATTTCACAATGAATTGTGAGAGACTTCAAACCATTTTATATACACTAAACCTCCCAAACCTTTTTTGCCAACAGGGTAAAGCACCTTATCTTAGTGGAGCCATGGGGTTTTCCAGAGAGGCCTGACAATGCTGAACAAGAAAGACCAATTCCAATCTGGATTAAAGCACTAGGAGCTATGTTGAGTCCATTTAATCCATTAGCTGGGCTCAGGTTAGCAGGACCCTTTGGTGAGTGCTAATTAATATTTGTTAAAGTACTATTTCTATTTATTTTAAATATGAATACAGAGCAAACACTTCATTAAGATGTTGCCTTCTTATAATTGCCTTCTTATAAATAGTTTTTGGCCCATCATTTATTTCATAAAGCATCTGGAGCCACATCATCCATCTATCATGAGTTTAAAAAAAAAAAATCTAGCCTTTGTTTACATTTGAATTACCTGTATTCTTTAAAATATATATAATATTTAATATGCAAACTGGAAAGAGGCTTTTGTGTGTTTTAAAAGCTTGACTAAGGTAATTAGCCTTTTGGACATATTAATTTGTTACTTTGCAAACAAGATTACTCTTTGAAGTAGAGGCTTTTCTAATTTACATAATAAGATTATTTGATTATCAAGTAGTTGCACAGAAATAAAGCTAACAGATGATGCCTCTAACTTAAAAATTCAGTTTAGTTATTCTTAACAGTATTACACTCTTTTTGGGAATGTGGAAATTCTAATTTAAAAATAGATTGCTGTGCCAAAGAAAATTTTCTCTAAAATGCAACCGTTGTTCATCATCTTTCATAGATGTAAAAAACCCCAACAATCCTAGCTTCTGTTGTAATTCTTCATGAATATCTGTTCAATTTTTTCACATAAGGAATGGGTTTCCTTTCTTCCTATTCTATTGTGGATTAACCGTAGATTCTGACTTTCTGATGAGGGGGTGAGATTCTTTCTGGTGAGGGGATGAGAATAATTAAATCCATTAATAAGATAGAAACTCTATTACTTGATTTAATGTGGAATATTCATTTTTTAAATGATCTAGACAACATGCACAAAAAAAACCTATCCAAAGGTTCAAGTTGTCTTTGATAAACATTAAAAATACAAACCGACTTGATCAACAAAAGCAAATACAGAAGTCGTCTTAAAACTGAAAAGGGAGATGACCCTCACACTCCAACCACTGATCTCAGCACACACCAATATATCGCAGCCCTTTGCTTCCTTCTCTCAACCTACATTCCAGGAAAAATATTTGGCAATGTCGCCTTAAGATCAATAAACTTGGACTTATGACAGAGTGGAAAGTGCATTCCAAAATTGGGCCACCCACAGAAAATGCCCTACTGGTAGCCTCCACTTTATTGAAGTGCAGGCACTTCATTTGTAGCAGGATGGTACACAGAAATAAGCAGTCTCTCAAATACTAGGTCCAAAGCCAGTTTTGGGGTTGTAAATCTAAAACAGCACTTTAAACTCTACGTAGAATACTACGAAAAGCCAGTGCAAATAACCGAGCATTGGTGTCATGCTCATGACTAAAACCTCCACTTAATAAGTGAGCTGCAACCTATTGCATTAGGTTCAGTTTCTGAACTGATTTAAAGTGTAACCCTACATAAAGTATATTGCAATAGTTTGATCTCAAGGTTATAACAACATGGATCATGGTGACAAGGTCTACATAAATGGTCATAGCCCTTTGGCCAGAAACCGGTGGGGGAGGCAGCATTATGATCACTGCTGTTGCTGTGACTGTTTACCAGCATTTGAGGATTGAACCTTACCTCCAGATTATAAACCCAAGTCATAAATGGTGAGGTCACATCTTCAGTTAAAGATGGAGATATAGTCTTCGACATGTCTTCAGTTTGCTACCCCCTTTTACTAGCACCGATTCTGTCTTATCTGGGTTGACCTTCAGCCAGCAATCCCTCATTCATGCCCCCGATACTGGAAAAGGTATTTAATAGTGAATTATGGATAGGATTTTCAAAACAACTCAGCGGTGTCCTAACTTTACTATCATTGAAGCCAATGGTAAAACGGTTATTGGCTTCACTGAGAGTAGAGTTAGGCTAGGTCTACACTACCCGCCTGAATCGGCAGGTAGAAATCGATCTCTCGGGGATCGAATTATCGCGTCTCGTCGGGACGCGACAATCGATCCCCGAATCAATGCTCTTACTCCACCAGTGGAGGTGGGAGTAAGCGCTGTCGACGGGGAGCCGCGGAGGTTGATTTTGCTGCCGTCCTCACAGCGGGGTAAGTCGGCTCCGATACGTCGAATTCAGCTACGCTATTCGCGTAGCTGAATTTGCGTATCTTAAATCGACCCCCCCCCGTAGTGAAGACCTGCCCTAAGACTAACTCTGAGTCGTATGATTACATATACAAAATATGTTAAAATAACGTTCTTTTAAGGTTGCAAAGTCAACCACTTAAAAATGAAAAGAAAGCTAAGAACAATATCTTAATGTGTACAAAAGGACAGAATGAGGATTGCATGGACAACTTTAATTGTGACATTCCCTAATTTTCAAGTGCTTGGTTTTGCAACCAAAATAATGTTGTTCTTATAATGTAGTTTTTGTATGTAATTTCCTAAAGAATTTTTTTTAAGAAAAAGGTTTTAAAAACCCCCTTAAATTCAATTACACCTCTACCTCGATATAACGCTGTCCTCGGGAGCCAAAAAAACTTACCGTGTTATAGGTGAAACCGCGTTATATCGAACTTGCTTTGATCCACCGGAGTGCGCAGCCCTGCCCCCCCGGAGCGCTGCTTTACCGCGTTATATCCGAATTTGTGTTATATCGGGTCGTGTTATATCGGGGTAGAGGTGTACTATAGTTCCCACATCATCAGTAGGGTTCAGCCAGCAAACCTCCAGCCCAGACGTCTACCTCTTGAGCTACAGGACTAAATAAATTAGCTGGCAACAGGAGAAGGCTGTTCCTCCAAGAGGGGGGTTATGAGCCACTCAGGCCATATGCAAGGTCCAGGAGTTAAAGGAAGGAACCTGGCCTGGCTATCTCCTCCAGCACATCCTCCCTGCCAGGAGTTGGGGTGCTCCTACCCCATGTAGAGTCCTCAGGGTGGGGAATGGTTTGTTGGAGCCATGTGCTGGGTCTGGAGAGTTGGCTTAGTGGAGCCTGGCCCAGCCCAGTTCCTCTATCTTGACCCCTTTACTCCCTCTCTGCTGCAGCTGCTCTCAGGCCTTCGCCATACAGCGTGTGTGTGTGGGTTGGGGGGTTGTGGCTGCTGCTCTGATGCAGTGTGGTGCCCATTCTTTTTAGAATGTTTGTGTCCATTTGTTTTGATATCCTACATGGTGCCAGAATTTTCCTAAGGAACGCAAATGATGGAAGGGAAGATGGTGACTTGTCCAAAATTATCTCAGCCACAACCTCCAGGACCTTTTTATAATGGGAAAGTGTTAGTCAACCTAAATAAAGGAGGTCACTACCAGCTCCCCCATAATTATTTTTTAAACTTTTTTTTTTTTTAACAGGATTAAGCCTTGTACAGCGTTTAAGACCAGACTTTAAGCGAAAATATTCCTCTATGTTTGATGATAACACTGTGACTGAATATATCTACCACTGCAACGTACAGTCACCCAGGTGATAAGTTTGCCAAAATATTTTTGAAATTAATCTGTTTCATAATTCAACAGCCACCCTTCTCCTCCCTCAGTGCCCCCAGTAATGCACGCACACTGGTTTTTTATTGTAAGGTTGTTTGTTAGGCTGCTAGCATTTAATGTGTTAATTTTAAAAGCAAAACAATATTGAACTTTGCTTGTTAATTTATCTCTTTGC